ATCCGTGCGCGCCGCCGGCAGCTGGTTCGCGCACGCTCCGCCCGCCTCGCCCGGCGCCGGCTGCTCCGGAGTCCCGCGGCGAGCACCGAGGCCACCGTCTCGGTCCTTGGGTCACCTCCTCCTCCTCCTCCTCCTCCTCGCGTAGGCCCCGAGGACGAGCGCCCAGAACGCTTCCCGGCGGCGGCGGCGGCGGCGAGCCTGGGGAGCCCAGCTCGGCGTTATCGCCTCGGTGCAGATGGGACGCGTGCCTCCTGGCGGCCCCCCGCGGAGCCCCGAGAAGACTTGCAACTCTTTCTCCTGCGGCTTGTGGTCACTAGTCCTCCCATAGTTACTCCCTTCAGGCTTTTATTTCATTGAAAAATTAAAGGGTAGCCGCCGCGGGTAGTGGCGTCCTCCTGGGACTGGGACACTGGGGACCTGGAGGCTGGAGGGGCTGGAGTTCAAGGTCATCATCCTTGGCTACAGAGTGAGGTCCTGACTTGTCTTGGCTATCCCCTGTGGTCCAGGTGGTGAATGGGGGGTTGGGTAGAGGAGGAAGAGGAAGAAGAGAAAAATGCACCTGCCTCCTCCAGGAGCATACATGGAGATGTATTTATGATGCCATTAATTTATGATGCCTCTTAGGTCCAGAACCCTGAGTTAGAACTACCTTGGTCTGCAGATGGTGTTCCCGGCCAGCCAGGTCCAGGTACAGAGAGTTGCCACTGATCTCTTCCTGTTTATGGCTTTGCCCTTTCCAAAATATCAGATAGTTGGACGCATACTGTACAGACAACCCTTCCAGAAGGGCTCTTTCATTCATTAACACTCATTGGGATCCTCTGTGTCTTTTCATAGCTTGGTAGCTCGTTTATTTGTTTGGGGTTTTTTGTCCTGCATTTTTTTATTTTGGTTTTGTTTTTGCTTTTGTTTGTTTTGCTTGTCGTTTGTTTTGAAATAAGAGTCTGTTTATCAAAGTCAGTGTCCTCCTGCCTCAGCTTCCTGGGTGCTGCAGCAAGAGTGCATCAAGACACCTGGCTTGGGAGCTCCTTTCTTCTTCATGCTGGATAATAGTGAGTTGTTTAGAAGAATCACAATGTGTTTATCCACATACACATACCTGGAGTCTACCTTCACAGACTGTGAATGTATCCCACGTCAGAAATTTCCAGAGTTCCCCAGGGCGGGGAAATACTTTGGAACGACGACATATCTAATAAAGGACTGTTGGTCAAAACATACTAAAAACTCTTCAAGCCCAAGAACAAAGTCCTTGTTGGAGGGAGAGGGGAGTTTGTTGAACCAGAATTCACAACTAAGAATTGAGCACTCTCCAAAGCAGAAATAATAAGGTGTCATTCGGGGGCGGGAGAGATGGCTGAGCAGTTAAGAGCACCGGCTGCTCTTCCAAGACAACCGGGTTTTAACCCACATGGCAGCTCACAACTGTAACACCAGTTCTGGGGGATCTGACACCCTCACACAGACACACATGCAGGCAAGACACCAATGCACATAAAT